AGCATCAACGGATGTGGCGACAAGAACTGTAACGACGTGGTGAAGCTCCAAAATCGTATTGATAACTCTCTGTACAGATCTTGCTAATGACAACAAGCTTAAGTTATTATTCACTCCAACTCACAAGCTTGATGAAAATGGGGATACGTGCCTTAAGCAAAAATAACTTGAACTTAGGCTGCCTCTGATTTGAATTTGTTCTCGAGTTCTTGTCATTTCTGAGTTGTTAGTTGAAATGTTTAACTAGTACATTCACCTTATTTCTGAAATTTGAGAAAAATGAGCTCCAGCAGTTGGCATTAATTACATACCTGACAATGTTGGGGTTTAGTATATTTTCTTGATATAAGAAAGTAAACTATCGGGTAACAGTTTGTCAAAGATTCGGGTTAATAGACAGCGAGAACATTATCTGGAGTCCCCTGAGCAAAGCATCTTTTTTAGATTGGTGTTTTATTTAGTTCTCCAACTAACAAATCAGGGGATAAACGATCTTATTTTGCTAACTTTAAACAAATATATATTTATTAGAAAGAGTATTAATGTTAAATCTATATATTTAGTTAAGATAAGGTACACTCTTCCTACGACAAAACCTTTGGCGTCCCATAATTCAGGCATATATCTATAAAGTACAGTATAAAGTTTGTATCATGTTACGTATTATAATGTACCCCGGACGAGTCCCCAATTTATTACGTAACGTATTATAATTTTAAATAGTCTGAAACCGAGTTAAAATATAATTACATTTAGAAACTAAATAAATGTCGATATGTATCCAATTTATGATATTTGCCAACAAGATTGATACACACACACACAGGATTTTTTGAATACAAATGTATCTTAATATACAAACAACAATAACATAATTTAGAATAACAGTTATTACAAATAATGATCTATGTACAAAAGTTTTACACACTTACAAACAATATTTAGTCTTCTATCTGGTCTGGAACTTCCTTGATATCTTATCCTTGGGTTCACGATCAACAAATTAATTCTTTTATGCTAAAATGGGTTCAGAATACACAAACTGACATAGTCGTGCAGAATAAATCAACCTAATAACCCGAGCAAAGCCGGGTAATTTCGCTAGAACAGAATAAATAATGTACACCACTGATCCTTTAAAAACAAATAACTGTAGCCCTAATAACTAACAATTTATAGTGTAAAACAGGTTTATCCATATATCTATACAGTGGGATAGGTAATTACAATATATCCTATATTAAATACTTCATAATTGTTTAAGCCACTGGAAGAATAGAAACAACAAACTAATATCATACATGATCGAACAATAATGTTGAAAACGTCATATTCTTTCATATAGGAAAAAAATGGTTCTAAAGTAGGTGTGAATGTGAAGTTTGTGGAGGTATAACAGCTGTAAACTTAACATATTCCAAATAAGTTTCTGTTCTCAAATT